CCTCCTTTTTCAACCCTTTTCCTCTGGTTCTTCACTGGTCATCCATGGGCTGCAGTCCCTCCAGGGAAGTACCTGCTCTGCAGTGGAGCACCTCCCACTCCCCTGACCTTGTTACTCCCTCCTCTATTCCCATCTCCTCTGCCTGTCCAGCATTTCCGCCCTTTCTTAAATACACTTTCCCAGAGGGGCCACCGCCTTTTCTGAGGGGCTCAGCAGTGTCCTGCAGTGGGTCTATTGGAGCCATCTGGCTGGAACCAGCTGTGTTCAGAGAACACAGAAGAACAAAATATCTTGATATTGCTCTTAGCTGTTATCTTTAAGGCAGTGATACTTAAAATACATTTAGTTTCAGTCTCATTTTGAATGTAAAGGAGCTAGGACAAGTTAGAAAGAAATCTACAGTGACATGTATAGGCAGCAGTGAGGTTGATGTGACCATACCGCTGATCACCAAGGAGCTCTGTGAGTCCACTGCTGTGCCAGTCTTTCCGTACAGCCTGTTGAGATGGGCATCGCACCTTAGGTGTGTGCTAGCTCTGGACCAGGGCTGGCTTGCATTTGACTGAGCTGAAAGGCAAGAACTCATAACTACCTGCACTGTCTATACTAGCCTAGCAAAACCATTTTGGCTAAGGACATACCCAACACTTATGAAAAAGAAAAAAAATAGAACTGATATATGTGTTATTCTCTTTTATGCTGTGTGTACAAAGACTGGTTTTCCTCTTGTTAATATAATTTGATCTAGAGAAAGTGATTTAGAAGACAAGCTGTTTATTTAGTGCACAGGCAGAGGCAATCTGTTCCAAGAATAGTTGGCAGCATGGGAGAGGGTATAAAGTTGAGAGTAGGTGACGGGAAGAAAAGAAATGTTAAAGAAATGTGTTTTCTTTGGAGGAGTGCTCCAAAATGCAGAGCCCTGTAGAGAGATGAGGACAGCATGGTCCGTGCAGGCACGTTATACTGGCACTAAAAATAGGACATTGGTCATCTAGTCAAAAAAGTAAACAAGTTGCTTGGAGTCTTGGGGCTATTTGTCAAGAATTCAGAAAAGAAAATGTTTGGAAGATGGGGGAACCATCTGAGCTCACTGTGAAGCAGCAAATGTTCCAGTGCTATTTTTGGTTGAGTAGTACTGTATATTGGGGGAGTTTCTGTGACATAGGAGGTGACACTACAAAATCTTGGAAGAAGCATATTTGAAATATGCTGTTCATGGAAATATATATGTTCCATATATTTAGCATTTAGTCTGGTCTGATAAATGGCTATAGCATCTTTTGGTCCCATACTTAATGCCTCCTACTCCCTTTTCAAAGGAATATGTGTCATCCCTGTGGTCTCAGGTTGGGAACTTAAGAACCTTGTTTGATCCTTTTGTTGTCAACAGTCAGGTCAGAAAAATTGTGCCTGAGTTAATTCACCTGAAAAGGGCAGCAGCTGTATAAGACTCCATTCATCAGCTTTGACCTGAAGGATGAGAGAGAGAGAAAAGAAGGAAAAAAAAAAAAAAAAGGATTTGTTTTAACTCCTGTGTTATTGGATAAGACCAAAACCGATAAGACCTCTGTGTATGTAGTAGAAAGTAAAGAAAAAGCAAGGTCACAATTATTGATGGAAAAAATGCATAAGAACTGAATTCCACTGATTAGGGTGTTTTCATGAGAATGTCTGTCCTCACCCTTCTTGGCACTAGAGCAGATTGACAGTAGGTTGTTTGAATTAATATAAGCAAGATGATGTGACTTAGCCACCTTAAGAGTAAAATCAGCACCTTCATTAGTAAATGGAAATGACCCCTTATAGGTGGTTATATCACAGAAAACTCTCCATTCTCTTCGTAGATTCCTCCTTTAATCTTTTCCAGATTAGCTCCAGATGGATTTAAATTCAAGTCCTTCTCATTAGCAGGTACTAATTTGTTTATATTTGATGAATGTCTTACAAATTATCTGCTTCATCAATGTAGAAAGAAGGTGTTGGTAAAACAAAACTAAAATAAAAAGAGAAATAGAAAACATCTCTTTTAAAAATGTTTTCATTTTACTAAAACCACTATGAGATGAACTACTTCTCCTGGAGGAAGGCCTCTCTTTACTGTTTCATTTTGACACCTATAGAAAAGTCTGTATTTATGCCACAAAATGGGCTCAGAGGATGTGTTAGCCTGGCTGGAGTTGCTCAGCTATTTGCCAGTGTTTGGCTCCAGATTGCAAATAATATTTTAAAGAGAAGTTTGTTTGAACTGTTTCAGATTTCTCAACCTTTAGTGTTATATATGTATAGTGTTATATATATATATTTATTTCTTTTAATACTGACTTGGTACAGTGTGATACAACAGTAGCTTAGGCTAATCTAGTCTCATCTTGATACAATTGTGCCAAAACTGGAATGTAAAGGCTGCTTTTCCTTATTCCTGGGAACCTGGGCAGCATAAAATGATGTTCTTCGTAGTAAAATAGCACGACCAACTCCATCTGCAAAAAAACTCACCCAAACCAACCTTTTTGTAATGTGTGATTATGACAACGTACATATGCCATGAATAATGACATTTATGCCTTAGCATTTTTTGGATCTATAGCAGTTATACTCTACTGTGAATGTCCTCTGAATGCATGTCTATCTGTAAAAAGACCCCCCTTTTCATTTGTATCCTGAATTTCATGTGTTACTGTCAAGTAATTGTACTTCTGAGTCTTGCCTTTGTGCTCTTTTCAGTAACTCTAAAAATGCTGTTCCTGATTCACCATTGCTTGCTGACTTCATTTGTACCAGTGGAAGAGTAAGAAAAAAGTAGACTCTCAGCTGCTCTGCTTTTGTACGAGTGACTGAGGTGCACAATAACCATGAGTCAGGCCTTTCTGCAGATCCTCTTATGAACATCATTACCATTTTTACTTAAAAAACCCAACAACCTTCAGCTGAATTTATGACTCATGAACAAGTGGATGTCCTGAACATTTGGTACTGATTTGCAGGTCATTCTTTCCACTCCTGTTTCTACTATGAGACAAGACAATCCTGACACATATTGAAATGCATTTTAATGTTGCTATATGGGGCTGGAGGAAGGATTACTATGCATAACTGCTTTACTAGTAGTGCTTGGCAGCTCCAAAGTACTTTTTGTCCAAGGATTCCCAGTACTATCCAGCACTGCATTTCCACTGTAGCAAGGTGTCTGCCCTTTCATTTTTACGCATCAGGAAACTGAAGCATTGAGTAGAAGTGAACAATTCACCTTGGCCAAACTAGTAAATAAACAACTTGGTTAAATCCTCATCCTCCATGATAAAAAGCAAGTGTGCCAATCTAAGACACCACATAACATTCATGTAATCAGTTGCTTTCCCTTCACCACACATACAGTAAGTCTGAAACCTTGCCATTGTCAAGCTGTGTCCATACGTCTTGAAGCTAGATCATCCTTTATTATTTTAGCAGATTGCTCAAAATAACTCTCCAGAAAAAGAGGAAATAAGAAGTCAAGTCAGGTTTTATATTCTTGTGTTGTTTTTCTTCGTGGTACTTCAAGTGGCAGTTTTTTCCATGCCTTGTCTTTGATTAATCTTATTTATGACATTATATTACTGATCCTATTTAACTATTTCTGTTCAGTCAGACACAGAAAACAATATGCACACACAAAAAGAAAAAAAAATTAAGTGTATGGATCATCTCAAACAGTTTCAGAACTAAGAGTATTTATGAAACATGGCGTATTTATGCTGCTACCTGAATTCTAAATGCAGAGCATCCCAGATCAGATGAGTGCCTAATGAGGGTCTGACATTGCACCTCTAAAAGAAATGCTCATGCTTTAGTGAAGTGATAGTACTGCTCACAAGCTGGCTAGATATTAACAAGTTCAGGCAATATCCCTTCTGTATATCATAAAGACAACTTCTGAGACCTTATTTCCTGTCTAGGCAATGTCCTAATCTGAAATGAGATCTCATTTCTGGGTAAAGGGAGATGCTTGGTTTGGAAAACTGATTTGGAAATATGTGACTTAGTGATTTCCACATTCCTTTTCCAGGATAAATACAGAGTTTACACTGCTGCTGTAATTAATCCACAGTAAGTTTTCTAGTAATTTTCAGGTTTCTCGTGAAACTCTATTGAATTTTGAGTTTATTTACAGCAGAGAAAATCTGAAATAAATCTGCCAGAGTCAGTTGTGTTAATCCAGGCTTGTGTCAGTATTACTGGAAACAAAATCTAAGTTTATATTGAATAAATTGAGAGTATAAGATCTAGGAGTGTAAAATTTTGCAATTACACTGCTCATATTTGTATTCAGTTTATAGCAGCCAGTAACACACACACTCTTTGTTCAAGAGCTTTCCAGTCTAGATTTACATAGGTAATTTTATCTCAGATTGTTCAGTATTTGACATAAATCCTTTATTTCTAGAGTTAACTAGTAATATAGCTATCTATTTTTGAAAAGGAGAATTAACCTTCATATTTGTGAATGAAAGCTGGAAATCCTGAGTCTAGAAAACCTAAAGCAAGAATTATTTCTACATAAAATCTTGGCTTTTTGGAGGAAAAAAGGGTTTATTTTCATTTTAGTCTTGGTCTTGCTTGTTGAATGCTTGGTGCTGGTGAGGCAATGGTACATATACACGTATGGAAGAGTGAATGTGCACTTTTTCTTACACATTGAACCTGAACTGGGGTGTACTGGAGCCTTTCTGAAGCTCAGGACTGTTTTTTCAGGGTGTGTTTCTGATAGGTTAGTAACTGCCTAGTGCATGGAAAATGGGAATCACAGTTTTCTGGGGCCAGAAATAGAGGTTCACTGTTAACCAGGCAGGGCTCTCACTAATGGGGAGGGAGGGTTGTATTTCACCTAATAAGCTCACAAAAGGCAGAAAGAGACATACCAGGTGGCACCAGCATGATTCTGCCAGTCTGCCATTCACAAGGCATATAGTCCCAGAAATCCACTAAAATACTTTTTTGTTGTTGTTATTTCCTTTTTCTAGAAAAAGCAAGTGAGTCAAACAAAGATCCGAGTGATCTCTACCATCCTCTTCATCCTGGCAGGCTGCATTGTCTTTGTGACCATTCCTGCAGTTATCTTCAAACACATCGAGGGTTGGACAGCCTTGGAGTCCATCTACTTTGTGGTTGTCACTCTGACTACTGTTGGCTTTGGTGACTTTGTAGCAGGTGAGCATCTTCAAGCCTAGATGCTGTGCATGAGAGCCTTGTCCCTTAGAATTTGTTTTCTGGTGTAGAGAGGAGGCTTTTCACAATGTGTTATATTCCAGTGAAATGATGCCAGGTGTTTCTGTTGGGGTTACTGTGCAGTAGGACACCAGGTTGATTTAAGATCCAAGTGCCTTGCCATCTGCAGATTGCAAGCTTTCAGCAATGTAGATAACGGAAGCCTGGGAAGTCCTGATTATCCTTTATTGTGCAATGAATTATGCACAAGTCAAATGACTTTCCCATTATATTTGAGATTTGTATTAGTCCATTAGGGTTCAATCTGAGGCTGACTGCAGAAGCAAGTAACCAAAATGATGAATGGATGAAGCTTTCACAAAGTGGGGCTGAGCCATGGGGCTGGGGAAATCTCTGATCAGACGCAGTAGTGGGCCGCTACTACAGAAGCTGCAGCATTTCAGAAACTGCATTTTGTCTCTCCATTCTTATCAGTTTCCAAAGAAGGAGTCAATACTGTTGGCCAGAGAGATGAGATTTTTTTTTTTGCACAACAGCTTTGATAACAAAAAGGTGGTTAAAATAAGTGGATTTTTTTTTCCCATTAGTGCATGACCTCTGCTCCTCATTCCTGTTAGTGGTCCTAATTAAAGGCATTAAGATGCTTGTGTTACAACCAGCCATATTATGCTACTGTTTTGTTACTTCCTATAAATAAGTGAAATATGAATGAGTTAAAAACATCAAATGAAACTACAGGAATATATAAAGTTTTCTTTGCTGAAGAGCTGCAGGCATCTTTTTGCAGAGAAGACTCTAATCCTCCCTTTTTATGACATAGTGGTACAGAAGACATGAATTATTGAGGAAAAAAAGGCACTGAACAAAGAGAGCCCCAGATATGAAAAAGAAGTGTTTTATTAGCATTCAGATACAGAAATGATTGTATGAGTTTGGTCCATTTTAACCACTTAAACATGAAGAGAAAACTCACTGATATTCTGTCTTTGTGGTATCAGTGTGAAATAAAAATAATTCACAATATTTTTCTTAAGCATATCACATTTTGGTATTGTTTTCTTTAATAATATAAGAGTAAAAAAGTTCTGAATATTAAATCAAATTGTTCTATATCCAACATGATTAGGAGAATATAATCCACAGCTGGATGGCTATTAACAACCAGGATTTTTCAAAAATCAAATGGAGGGCCCTGAAGGAGAAAACTTCAGAGACAATCTCATGATAAGAGTTTAAGGCAGGTGATCACCAGGAGATTTGGAGTTTATTGCTGGTTTTGAATTTCTGTCACTTTTATTTTCTGTCACTTTAATCTCTCAGTATCTCTATCCCTTCAACATCAAATAAAAAAATACTATGTCGTTTAGGGTAAAACAGCACTAATGGAGCTATGATGATTTATTCCACCTAGAACGTGTCCCAGTTCTTGGCAAACTGAGAAAGTTTTTGTACTACTGTTGGAGATACAATTGTGGATGGAGCCTGAAAAAAACAGAATATCTGATAGGCTGAAAAAAAGTGGTCTCCTACTTTCTCAGTTGTCTGATTACTCTGTAAGATAGATCTAGACAATCTGTTTCATAGCAAACTTCCTCAGGGACACGTATGATCAGAAAAAGCCTCGTTGTACCATAGCAACAGCAGCCCCCACCTCCCATTGTTTCACACTCTTAAAGACTGGCAAAAACACTGATTCATGCAGTCTGTGCGGAGAGATTAACATCAAAACCAATATTTGAGTCCCTGCCAATTCTCAAATGTCTGACCTTCCATGGGGATATTCGAACACTGTATGTGCACTCATACTGAGTCTGGATAAAATTAAAGAATCATAGGAATGTCTCAGACTGCAAAAAGCTCAGGGGGAAATGCTGAACTGTGTTGTCTGGTGATTTTAATGCTGGAAAATTCTATATCTCTCTGTAGTCATACAGATGTACACATTGGTGTCTAGCTCTTGTCTAGCCAAGGCTGGAGTCCAGGGAACATGCAATCCTCTGCCCGAGTCCCCTGGTAGGCTTGCTCTTCAGGCAGAGATTTACACAGGTACCACCAACATGGTGTTTGTTCACATGCACTGAGGGATATGGCTGCGTCCATGGGCTGTGCAGACTCCACTGCCCACTCTCTTCGGCTCAGGGCTGTGCCTGCCTCTCACTGGCTCTCATTCTTGCAGTGCACATACCACTGTGATAGGACTGGGAGTCTCAAAAGTGAGGTTGTGGTTGCTTTCTTTTGGAAAAATTTATTCTGTTCTGTGGTAAGTAGCAGCCTGGCTGCTACCACATTTATTTTAGGCTTTTCATAGTCCATTAGATTTGCCATATGTCTCACATACTTGTTTTACTGGCTCATCCTGAGACTTCAGTGAAGACCATATAGGATATTGGTTGCTTCATTTGATCCGTATCTCCTATCAAGTTACTGGCCAGAGAATGCACCTCTATAACTGATACCCAAGCAGGCAGTATATCCTTATTATCAGGGCTGATGCATGGCTGGCTTCCTGTCAGGTACCCTGACTTGGAGGAGAAGTCAAAGCTACTTGTCTTTCTCCTGCACATAGATCTCTCAATCCTGTAGCTAAAACCAAAAAAATCTGGAAACTCTATAACCTGAGGGGTTGAACTGTAAAGTTTCTCAACTACCAGTCTGCAGACAGTTCAGAATAAGAAAGACTAGCTGTATTAAACTTTTTCCTTGGAAATGTGTTTATGCTGTTGCAAGTACTATCAAAGCAGGAATTTCAGACTTGCTTCAGACTATGAGCAATATAAAGAAAAACATTTAGTAGGTGCTCTGGCAGGTCACATAGTAGCAGAACAATAGATAATTTTGAAGAGTCTTAAATTAAGAACAGACTGTTTTCCTCCCATCTGACAAGCCTCTCATCTATTATTAGAACTACAGTGGTGTTGGCAAGAGTCAAGAAATACTTTCAGGAATTTCTCAGAATTGCAGATATTTTGTCATAATTTTGGCATCTCATGATTCCTAAGCATAAGTATACACTTATTTCAGGAGGAAATGCTGACATCCATTACCGGGAGTGGTACAAACCCTTAGTGTGGTTCTGGATCCTTGTTGGCCTTGCCTATTTTGCTGCTGTCCTGAGTATGATTGGAGACTGGTTAAGAGTCCTGTCCAAGAAGACAAAAGAAGAGGTATGACTAGTAATTTCTCAGTGGTTTGTCATTTTATAAGAGAGCTTTAAGTGCCTGATTCCTGCTTGTCTAAAGAAGGATGCTCCTCTGGATGACCAGTGCTCAATATTCCCCATGTTTTACTCCACTGGCTACCTTTGGCATCTAGTTAGCTCTAATCTTTATCTCCTTCACAAAGGAAGGGAAAAAAGCAACTGAAGCAACCTAGGTTGTTACATCTCTATCAGTACCACCAAATACACAGAACACACCAGTAGGATTGCAATTATGGAATAGGAGAGGTGAGCCTTCACTCTGAACTAGCTACAAAATTGTGATAAAAATGTCAGTGTTGTCTCTTTAAAAATTGGAGATTTTGAAGATTCAGGCCCCTTACTGAGTAGCATATTATTAAAAATTGAAGAAACTGAGCAGTCAGCATCAGGGAGAACATGATTAAATTTACTCAGAACTTGCCCTCCGTGATTCAAAGACAGTATGGCTAATGCTTCACTCAAATAAGTGTGGAAAATAGAAGGCAATTGCCATGACTCTAGAGCTGAAGCCTATTGTGGAGGACATTAAAAATATAATTTCAACTTTAAAGGCAATCTCTTCCTGCATTTCTAGCAAAGCTAACCTGGCAGGGTTAGCCAAAGAACAGGCAGGCATAGACAAAGTTTTGCAGAGGGGTAGTGCTATTTGTCATTTATGAAGGCATCTGCACTACCTGAGGCCCAGAGTATCCCCTGTGCATCTCCATTAATAAAGGGGGCTTCACAGAGAGTTTGGCTGTCAGGTTGATCATCAGCAGGCACCTATAGGTGGGAATCTGATCCCTCATGGTAGTTGTGAGATGCCTGCTGCCACAAGTAATACAGTTCTACATGGACACCTGGTCCTCTGGCCTGAGGAACCAAAGACGACTTCCTTGTGGATCACTGAATGCAGGAACTGAGTTCTGGCTACAGCAGCCGAAGCACACCACTGACCTTGGTGGGCTATGGCAGACATCATACCCCTGAATCTGTTCTCCTTTAGCTGAACTTTAGAAAAGGCCTGTGTTGACTCAGATTTTGCTTGGTCATTTATCTTTTTTTTTCCTCATTTTGGAAGAAATACTTATTGAATACAGCAGCCATGTAGGTGCTTTATTCTTAGCCATTATTCTGCTCTCAAGTGCAAAGGAGTAAAACAGAGCAAAGCAGTGAGACTTTTAAGGACATGCTCATGGTGCCCTGACAGAATATGTGTTGAAAACTTCTCCAGCTAGCTTGAGAGGGTGGTATTTAGACAGTTACGCAATGGAAACCTCCATTAAAGACAGCTACATTTGTCCCTGAGAATGAACCCTTGACTGGATCAGTCAGAGGCCCACTTGAAATTATCTAATAGGTATTTCCAACGTTAATTTCTCTGTGGCTCTGTGGCACTGAACGGAACATTCAGTGGGACTGAACAGCTCCATCCATGAACAACACAGGAAAATACATTACTGTATTGCTACACTGGTTGTTGTGCTGCTCTGAAGCATATTGGTACAACTATATGTGAGTGATTTTGCCCACTCCTGACCATCTACTGCTGACATTATAAGTCAGGAATTTTGTTCTTAACCAAGGAGGGATTAGCATGAGCACCTCGCATCATGTAACACAGCTATAAAATGCATGGGGTGGCAAAATGTGAAGCAGGCAGACAAGTTATATGCCACATAAACCATTAGTTAGTGACTAGTTGGTGTGATTAGAGCTTGCCCAGTATAACCACTTTGCTGCTGAAGTTTGGGTCCAGATGGACACTGGAGCTGGGACCGGTCTCTGATTTTATGCCAGACAAGACAGTGCTTGTGCTGCTGTTCTATAGGAAAGACTGTAATTTCATTTTTCTTTTCCTTTTTTTTTTTTTTTTTAATTAATTTCTCTTTCTTGTTGTTGTAAAGGTTGGAGAAATAAAAGCCCATGCAGCAGAGTGGAAAGCGAATGTGACGGCTGAGTTCAGAGAGACACGGAGGCGGCTCAGCGTGGAGATCCACGACAAACTTCAGCGGGCAGCCACCATCCGGAGCATGGAGCGCAGGCGCTTGGGCCTGGACCAGCGAGCCCACTCCTTAGACATGCTCTCTCCAGAGAAGCGCTCTGTCTTTACTGCATTGGAAACAGGACGCTTCAAGGCCTCATCTCAGGAAAGCATCAACAACAGGCCTAACAACCTGCGCCTTAAAGGGTCAGATCAGCTCAACAAGCATGGGCAGGGGGCATCTGAGGACAACATCATTAACAAGTTTGGATCGTCTGCTAAGATGACCAAAAGGAAAAACAAAGACCTCAAAAAAACCATCCCTGAGGATGTGCGTAAAATTTATGAGACCTTCCGAAACTACTCCTTAGATGAAGAGAAAAAGGAAGAGGAGACAGAGAAGATGTGTAATTCTGAGAACTCTTCTAGCACTGCAGTCCTGACCAACTGCATCCAGCAGCACTCAGACCTGGAGAATGGAGTGATCCCCAATGAAACCAAAGAAAGGGAACATGAAAACAAAGCATTACTTGAAGACAGAAATTAAGCGTAAAAGATGCTTGACTTGAATTAACAATGTTAGTGATTTTATATACATATATATATTGAGACACGTGCCTTATACAGACTCCTTATTCAGTCTGAATTATATAGCATTGAAGAATATTTCACTGTGCCATAAAGACTCAAGCTTGCTCTGCCAAAACAAATCAGGAACACAGCGCTGCAGAATGGCAACAGAAAGCTACACACATGGAAATTTCAACCTGTATAAGATTACCAGGGCAAGTCACAAAGGAAGAGATTGAACCACGGCAATATCACCAGAGTGCTCCTACTATGGCATAATATTAGACAAAGGGCAGCTACTTAAGAAGAGCCTTTGAAAGAAGTGAAAGAGAGAGTATATTTGTAATGGAGTATGCATCCATAAAGCCTTCCCCTGGTGATTAAAAAGAGGAGAAATTATTGGAGTGAACTAGAAACTTTCAGTAAGACTTAGTTTACATTTTGGCACGTGATCCAAGCTAGATTTTTTTTTTTTTCCATTTTTGAAGCAGATGCATTATCTTTCTAAACTCCAAAAGAATGTCCATGGACACAGCCGCCAGCTGGGTGCTGGTTTGAAAAATCAACACAGACATATTTAATGGTTGGATTGCTCTTTTCATTAAAATAAGAAAAGAAAAAAACTTTATGAGTATTTATCTTAACCAGTGACAAAAGAAAAAAGGAAAAGAAACAAATGGATTTTTTTCTTCTCGTGTAGGAAATATTCAATGTAAAGTCACAGCAAGAAAGTGCATATGAAGAAATTACAACATCTTGTGCTATGTTGTTTAAAAGAACAGAAACATTAATTTAATGATATTTGGCTCGGTGTATAAAACAGTGGGCCAACTGTTTTTTTTTAAAAGAATTCCTCATTCACACTTTCTACCACTGAAAAAAAAAAACTTCAATTTTAATGCTGTAAGACTATAAAGACAGAAGGAAAGCTATAGCTTTTGCATGTCAGCAAACTGCTGTTCTCTGTAGCCGAATCTGAATTTTTAAAAATAGACATAAGAGCATATACACTATTCAAATGAGGGCCAGAGCAACCATAGAATCTCAGGGCTCTCTGCCCCTTTTGCTGGGTTTGGGTTTAGACATAAGCTGCGGTCATAATCTCAGAAAAAAAAAAAAAAAGAAAGAAAAAGGAAATTTAAGAAAAGAAGTTGAGAAAAATATGGTGGCAACCTTTTAAGTGCTTATAGCTTTAAGTGCCATTAATGCTGTCATATTTTGTAACTTTTTAAACAAGTATTTTGAATTATTTGTTTTATTTCCTTTCAGATACTATCTTTGTTTGACATTTGCTATCTCTTTTTTTGATAAAATCCAAACGTGAGCTCTCTGCATTTCTAGACTAAAGCGAAATGTAACCAAACTGTGGGCATTTTTTAAAAATCTTTTGTGGTGTCTGGATATATGCATATGAGAAATACAAATGTCCCTAGACTTCACAGTAAATATTCAAAGAAAAGGCTGCAAAATAATTAATGGCAATTGCAAAACACACTAAATTTTTGTAGCCTCAGCCTGTGGGCTACTGTGTTTGCCCTTGCGGATAGAAGATTTTGCATGCTGGAAATGAGATACAGTTGATTGCACCAGCAATGCTTTCCCTGAGCCTTCACAAAATCCTAAATATTCCTGCAATTCAAACTGTAGGTTTATAGGTAAAGTAAGCATGGAGGTAGGTGGCAGAGACATAACAAGTCTTACAAGCTAGTCAAACATACAGACACTCACAGGTCATACAGACACAGATGTTTGGAATTGCATGCCCATGTCTACATATAGAAATATGCACGCTTCATTTTCTGTGATAGTTTCCAAGATTTTACGCACAATGAGCCAACGCAAAAGCTAACTGGTCACCAGAATACATGATTGCCATGGCTATGAATAGAAGCATGGCAATGCAAATGCAAATTTCAAGTATGCGTATTTGCATATCTAACTGACTCTGCATTATTTGCAGAAGTGAGCCAAATTCCACTAGTGCAGACGAGGAAAGAAGTTCTTAGTATGTTCTGTCTGCTGGATCATTTCACTTGAATCTTTCTAATCTTTCACATCTTTCTAATCTCATTATCTGTCCGAAAATTAAGGATGAAAAAAACAATGTTTGAAAAATTTCAGGTCATTTGGGATTGCATTAACTCAATAAGATCCAACAGAAATTGAGTTCTGCTTAGTTCACCAATGAATCTCTTAAGGTGCAGGGCTGCGCTCTGGCATTAGCTTACTGCAGGCAGGGCAGTAAGCCCAGTCCCCAGGGAAGGTTTCATCTGACTCAAGAGCTGCCATGGCTCCTGGAGGCTTTTGTGCCACGCAGCCCTGTGTCAGCTTCACAATGATGCAGACGGCAGCTTCTGCCCATCCTCACATCCCGTCCTCCTTGAGCCACAGGCAGACACCAGCAAGATGCAGGTCTGTTTAAGCATCGGAGTCTTTTAGCCCTCCTGTTGCTCCTGGTTTTGGGCAGGCCTGGGATGAAATTCAGCATCAAGTGCCACATGTGAACAAATCTTCACTCAGAAGTACAGTGAATCATGCTGTGCTAATTCTGTAGTGCCAGGATGGATGAAACGTACCTGGATGTACTAAGGTTTTATGTTGTTCAGATCTGGGGTTTTACTGTGGCCTGGTGGGAAGTTAGGAGTGAAAGTTGCAATTTAGATTTGCATTTGAATTCCAGAAAAGGTTCAGAAGTGCTCAGACATGCTATTTGGGTCCTGGGAATTAAAGTACTGCTTGGTTACACCATCCTGCGCTTTGCTTATATGAAGGATCAGGCACATAAAAGTATCTCATCTGACTCTGAAAGCATGCAATACATATAGATTGTGCTAACAATTCTCCTTGGTTACCAAATGCCAAAACCAACATCGTGCATGCAGTGTTATTTGTTCCTCAACTGAGTTCTTCTCGCAAGAAATGCTTGCCTGTAATGGAAAAGTCCTGCACAGATGCACAGGCAGCTGTAAGGATACGGAAGATGCATCTCCTGTATGTGAAATATAAGGCCTAGTCATAGCCAGAGCATTTCTGCTGATTAGGGTCAGGGAAAGCAAAAGTCTGTCATATAGGACTTGTCTGTGTGAAAAGGGCTTGGGCAGCGGGCAATCACGGAAAACAGGTCAACATGGACAAAGTGACTGAGGAGGCAAAGTTTGGTGGCCAAATTCAGAACTGTTTGCTCCAATGGGATAGAAGGACAATGAAATCTTGGCATATTTTTAATCTCTAAACTTTCTGAGTTCTCAGTCTGTCCCCTGTCCAGATTCTAGCTGATGGTATGTGTATGTCACTCTAGTTTCTGCCTGGCCATGCCATACAGGAGTCCCTGGCTGACATTTTATCAGCTGTGTCTTCAGCAGCTCCTGGTTTGGGATATGACAGTTTCAGGAACAAAGGATGATGCTGCATAAACTCCCAGTGAGATACTGAACAGAGCATTTGATGACCTTTTACATGAAAGCAAAATGCTCTCCTTCATTCCTCTCCATTTCTGTGTCTGTGAAACTTGCTGAGAGAGCTGCCAGTCTGCTCCTGGAGAAAATATTTTCTCCTATATTATTGCCTGTTAAATACCTCAATACACATAGTTTTTATTATAATATGGGAAGTGCAAATGGTGTATTGCATAGGGGGCTAGACAGAAATGTCTGACAACTAAAATGACATTTTAATGTCCTAAACTGCTTCTCCCCTTGTAAAGGCCATCCCTTGGTTTTAGTTGTAGGCAACAGCTTGGGAGAGAATCTCAGTTCAAACATTGGTTGTTTTTGTGGCTAAAATTCTCATCCTTTGGCATTTAATACTGCTTGTAAAAAACTTGTGATGTTATTTCTAGTGAGGCTGTTCCACCATTATTGAAAGTTTTAGCAAAAAGTAGTTTGAATCATATCTAAAACTCCTTGCTCTAAATTACACCCTTTCATAGCAGCCTGAAAATTAAAGGTCAAACAAAAGGGTGACTTACTGACTTTAACTCTCAGATCCTGCCCTGAGGACAACATGACTTGACATGGGAATTGCCATCTGAAAGAACAAGGGAAACATGGATTTTCTGTAGCCACAGCCCTCACACATAGAGGACGACAAAGCTTCTGTTTTCCTACAGCTTTCAGCTCTGCAGTCCCATTTCCTACTGTCTTGTGCAGGAGAATTCTGGCATGCTCCTTTGGGGGTCCTCCTGGACCATTAACCATCACTGAACTTCTGCAGATTTTGCATGAGTGGTTTTGAAAAGATTTGTAACTTCATCCATGTGGCAGTCTGTGAATTTTATTACCCTTTAATAAGGAACATTATTTCTAATAAATGTTATTAGAAATAATAGTAGATAAAACCCCAGTGATTTATATTCATGAAATCTGATTTTGGTTGTTGCTCTGAAATTATAAATCATCTGAGCTTCTGCTGTCTGGCTTTATGACATCTCTAGTACAAGTCTGCTTCTTCCAAAGCTATTAACGGGCTATGCCAGAGACTTTCTGCAAAATTCTCTAACCCATGATAAATGAAAGTATGTCTGTGAGTTCAGGGTTTTTAAAACCCTGTCCTTAAAAAAACCTGCATTTTCCTGAAGAATTTCTGTTTATGCTGTACATGGGCTGTTTGTTTGCCAGCTTTGGTTTTCTCAGGGGCTTATTTGTGTTGTCAGGTTGCATGATGTCTGCTAGTCTCACTTTTCCCGCCATCCACTAAAAATAAATAACAGGCAAAGGCCAAGCTTTATGTTATGTTGTGTACTAACCTTGAACAAGAAGTCTTCTACTAAACAGATGTGAATTTGAAAGGTGACTGGGAACTGCTTCAGTCCTTCCTGTACATTTATTTGTTCTGAACTATGCTTTGTCTAATCTAAGGCCAAAACCTGTCCCCACCAAGTCAGTGCAGTAAAGTGGAGCTAGCTTGTTATTTTTAAACTTTTTAGAGCAAAGACCTGCTGTTTTAACTCATTTCTACAGTTCCATTTACACTTACTGGGATGACATCATATCAATACTAAATAAAAATAAGCCCAGTTTCAGAAACAGTTCCCTAGGCAATTAAATATCAATGCAAACACAAAGCAAATCAACACAAATCTATGAAACTCAAATAAAGGCCTGTGGATTAATGTATGAAACTAGTTGCCTGAAATATATCAGCAAAAAAATGCAGATCTGAAGATTCCTTTAGGTTGCCTAATTCTTCCCAACGTCCCCATCTCCTTTACTACCAGTAGCAGTTACTCTCCTTAATACCATTGTTGAGCTGGACCATATTTTTTTCCTCCTGTCAGTGCAACTGAAGTACATAATGATGTTAGACTGTTGACTCACGCTGTTGAAATCAAACACTGCTGAAGCAATTGCAAAAGCTAATTTGAGGGGGTCCTGATGTAGCCAGCACATGCTCTGTGAGCTGGATCATGCTGGGTTGAGAATATCACTCTAAAGGCAGG